TGGTGTGTGAAAGATGGGTGACAAAGTTGGTGTGTGAAAGATGGTGTGTGTGTGTGTGACAAAGTTGGTGTGTGAAAGATGGTGTGTGACAAAGTTGGTGTGTGAAAGATGGTGTGTGACAAAGTTGGTGTGTGTGAAAGATGGTGTGTGACAAAGTTGGTATGAAAGATGGTGGATGACGCGGAGGCGGCGGAGGAGGAGGCGGAGGAGGCGGAGGACGAGGCGGCGGGATACAGAATCAAAAACAAGAACCCCACACAAAGATGTGGGGGAAAAAACAGCGCTGGCGATGTGTGCTACCACATTGGGAATCCCTGTCCATGTGGATGGTGGAGCTTGGAACACCCGACCACTGCGCCTCTCAAAGAAGGGTAGAGACACTGAGGCGACGGGTGATGTGTGTGTCAACGAAACCTCGCTGCGTGAAGTCAGGCTTTGAAGGAACTCAAGGGACTCCAGCCGTTCGTTTCTCAGAAGATTGAGAGATATAAAATGTTATAAAATGTTACCAGGAGTACCGCACAAGGCGGTGGCGGAAGTTTCAAAAATAGGAAACCTATAGGAGAGGTTGGTTGTTGTGGATCAGGGATGGCAGAGCGAAGCCACTGATGGACTGAAAGGTGCTTGATCTCTCTCACTCTTTCTATCTCTTTCTCTGACTATCTACCTACCTACCTATCTATTTCTATGTATCTATCTATCTATCGATCTATCTATCTCTCTCTCTCTCTCTCTTTCATCTAATTACCCTATCTATCGATCTATCTATCTATCTATCTCTCTCTCTCTCTCTCTTTCATCTGTCTATCTGTCTAGCTGTCTACCTGTCTATCTATCTATCTATCTATCTGTCTATCTGTCTATCTGTCTATCTGTCTATCTGTCTATCTGTCTACCTGTCTACCTGTCTACCTGTCTATCTGTGGTGCAGTGTCATTCAGTGTATTGTAGTGTAGTGTAATGTAGTGAAGTGTAGTGGAAGGTAGTGTAGTGTAATGTAGTGTAGTGTAGTGTAATGTAGTGAAGTGTAGTGGAAGGTAGTGTAGTGTAATGTAGTGTAGTGTAGTGGAGTGTAGTGTAGTGGAGTGTAGTGTAGGGTAATGTAGTGTAGCGTAGTGTAATTTAGTGTAGTGGAGTGTAGTGGAGTGTAGTTGTGTAGTTGTAGTTGTAGTGTTGTGGAGCGTAGTGTAGTGTAATGTAGTGTAGCGAAATTTAATGTAGTGGAGTGTAGTGGAGTGTAGTCTAGTTGTGTAGTTGTAGTTGCAGTGTTGTGGAGTGTAATATAGTGTAATGTAGTGTAGTATAGTGGAGTGTGGTGTAATGTAACGTGGTGTAGTGTAGTGAAGCGAAGCGGCGAAGCGACATCTGAACCTCGAAAAGTGGTCCGAACCCCTAGTGTTTTGTACATTTTCACTTCGAAATGTGCTTCGCGCCACAACAGCGTGCACTTTTTCGACATCTGAACCTCCAAAAGTGGCGCGAACATGTAGTGTTTTGTACATTTTCACCTCGAAATGTGCTTCGCGCCACAACGGCGTGCACTTTTTCGACATCTTAACTTCCAAAGTGGTCCGACAATGGTGTGCTTTGTGCATTTTGACTTGGAAATGTGCTTCGTGCCACAACGGCGTACACTTTTTCGACATTTCAAGTGCCAAAAGTGGTCCGGAGCTGGTGTGCTTTGTACATTTTGACTTGGAAACGTGCTTCGCGCCACAACGGCGTGCACTTTTTCGACATCTTAACTTCCAAAAGTGGTCCGAGAATGGTGTGCTTTGTGCATTTTGACTTCGAAATGTGCTTCGCGCCACAACGGCGTGCAATTTTTCATCTCTCCTCTGGCCAGCTGGCTCCGCACCCGCCGCTTTAGCGAGCCTACTTTTCGACCCTCCGGAGCCACAAATCATCGGAAAAACACAGTGTTTCGCGACTTTCCTACCTTTTCGCGCATCTGCATCTTCTGTCTTCTTACTGTTTCTCTTCTACTCTTCTTTCTTCTAATCTTTCTCTTCTCTCTGCCTCTTCCCTGCTCTGCTTTTCATCTCTCCATATTGTCGGAAGTTTGACTTCTAAACTTCCTTCGATAAGTGCAAGTAGTTCTACACAACATCCCAAGGAAGTGCAGCTAAGTGCAGCTGACTCTAAGTGCTTGGTCTGCACGTATTTCTTTTTCGAGACTCAGAAGCCATGACTGGAAGTCCATCAACCGGGATTCCGACCTGGACACTGAACAGCTCCTGCAACTCGAACAAAGATGTCTTCAGCACCAAGCGAACCTGAGTTGGATTCAGCAATTGCTGTGCAACTGCGCAACCAATCTCACTACATCATTATTAAATAGTATTAATGTGTTTCAGGTCGGTGAATGATGATAATAACACGAAAGCTGATGCTGGATTTTGACCTCTGCTACCACCACCCTGTTTGTTGGCATCACTGAGCTGCGGTGGTTCAATATGTTTCAGACTCAGGAACAGGAAGGCCCTCTTCTGGCCAAGCCCATCCTGGAACTCTGCCATTCTCCTCACTGCAAATGCCCAACATGTGAGGCATCGATTTGAGGAACGCAACAACTATAATACAGAATAATACAGATACAACTTGATGCAACTCACAGAAATTCATCAGCACATTGTGCATTCTCAGATCTTCTCAGAAATTCTCAGTGATTTTGTGAAAATCCTGGTTCCAACCTAATCAAACATCACACATGGCCGATCTCCCATCAGTCCTGTCTCAATGCCACGCGCACAGCCAAGGACCCGGGCGACCCGGGCGTCCCGGGCGTCCCGGGCGTCCCGGGCGTCCCTTCATCCAGGCGCAGAGCCAGGCGGCGGATCATCACTTCGTGGCGGAAACCATTGGGCATCGCCTTGGATGCGCTGGGGATATGGTGGAGATTGGGATGGGGGGTTATGATAGGGCTATGCTAACATATGGTAACCCAAGATACCAAGGACCATTGATGATCCATTGATGATCCATTGATTTCTGATGTCGGGTCTTAAATGATTTGCATTCTGGACTTCTGCAGTGAGACGAGGAAATAGAGCTGGCACAACCATGTGGAGGGTGCACCTTGAGCACAACTCTGTGCACGCAGAACATTGAAAAACTGTTTTGGACAAGTGGCATTGCGGTCTTTGGCGTAGACGCTCAGAGGATTTCCCCAATGTCCCTGACCAGTTGGGCCCGAATATGAAGTTGCTTACAGCGATTCAAAAAATGAAACTACAAACATTGTGTGCCTTCGCAGTTGACAAATGCATACAAATGCCAAAATGTCTGAATCAAAGATCTGTTGAGGTTGGCAGTGCCTTGATTTCGTGCTCCCTGACCGGATCGTCCGCAAAAATCCATGCACACTTTGGCATCATGATACCATCGCTGCACCGCTTGCACCATGGCTTCAGGTCCAAAACGAAGTTTTTCCAATAGGTTTCTCATGGTTTCTCCACACGTTGGGGTCTACAGACAGAACCGTGTCTTGGCGAGGTGTTTCCAAGTCAAAGAAACATTCTATTTAGCTTTAAACCAAACCTATTGATTTCTCTTTTGATCGTGGAAGGTTTCTTTCGGGCGCACTTGCTCACAGCCTGTCGTGGTGAAGTCTCAGCTCCACGGAGTTAGAACTGCCTATCGGGCCTATGGGCAACCAATAGCTGTCAATAGCTGAATGATTGAAAAAACACCTGAACTTGAATTGCCAAACGCATGCGGCATGCAAAAGTATGGAAATATGAAAATATCACGTGAGCATCACTGGTACTACTGACGTCACACCATGTGTTGACTCGAAACAACATCTATTTATAGTACGAATTTTGGACTGGCTGCATTTGCGGTCAAGATAACACCCAGCGCGCTGCGCTTCTTTTGGTCTTCCAAACAATCGCATCCCAGCAGCATGAAAAGGCCCGCTCCGCCGTAGATTCCCACAACGATTTGAGCCATGTCTGGCTACCGGTCCTCCAGCGTCGCAGCAAATCTGTTGAACGTGATCGTTGTCCCACAATCATGGCATGCTCACATTGGCAGACATAAATTGAAGAACTTGTCTCTTTATCAGCACCTTACAGTTTAGTGGCAAAGGATAGACTTCTGAGCTTTGTGCAAACCAACAGCAACAGGCAGTACCAACAAAAACCTTGCATGAGGCAAGGTTTACTTGCAATGAATGGAACAGAATTGTACAAGTATACAGCATCAATCAGCATCATGTTGCATGTTATGTAATGTCTATTTTCACATTATATACACACATACAGAATGTTCAAGTCAAAATAGTCAAACTATGTCAAACTGATATTTAAGACAATACGCCACGTTTTTACAAATGGTTCAATTCTGTTGTTGGCCTCTCAGGCTCTGGCACGTAGTGGCACTGGAAGACCAACGAGTCAACGAGAAAACGAAGGGGCTTGGCAGACTGGTCTGCCTGTTCCAAGGTTTGGTGAGAGATGTCAGGGAAACTGCAAAATCTGTTGATTGCCACTGTAAACATGGCAAACTGGTCATGGGTCTTGTGTCCATTTTGATCATTCTTGATCCATCCCATGTCTCTGTGTCTTGCGGCTTGTCGCAGCGCCTTATCCCACCTGACGGCCAACTTCCTGCAGGCGGATGTGTGCCTTTGCGCCAGACGGAAAGTGCCCCAACTTCTAGCCTTGCACATGTGATCAGCTGAGCCCCTTGCAGTCTTTCCTTTCTTCTCAGAAGATAAAACCTGGCACTGTTCGCATTTTCACTTGCAGAGGACATTCCCCTAGCTCGTGCTTTCTTTCCACAAGCGCTAAGCCGCACCGCATGCACATCACTTGCTCAGGTAACAGAAAGGCCGAAAGCATCCGAAAGCGTTCTGCAAACTTGTCCCTCCAACTCAGTCCAATCTCAAGAATTGTAAACAAAAAAGGGCTTTGCAGAGCGAAGTACTGCCATCAAATACATTTCCAATGAAAGATTCCAACATTTTGCCAACATTTTGCCCTTGCCTTCAGCTGTGTACCAGGAAGGAGGATACTCTCACTCTCGTTGGCATAGAAGCTTAACTGGCAGGGTCCAGGGGATGTGGGACATGGACTACTGGACTGGACGGTGGATCTCATCGGAACAAAATGTGGTGGGCGAATATGGGCGAATTAAAAAATACCAGGAGTCAAATGATACTTCTGCTGGTTTCAATCTTTATTACTTTACATTACTTTACCAAAAAGAACAGGTCAATACTTCTCCTCTCTGCTTGATGGGGTCTTGATGCCCGAAGGCCCTGGACCCACTGAAGTGCCAGCAAATTACCTGAAAATATTGGTGCTACAAGTAGGTGTTCTTTCGACTGCGCAAGTGTTGTTGACACATGTTGACACCACTACCTTTCTGTGTAATCTGTTTCCCCTGTGTATCACTCACTGGCCTCAGAAATCTCACAAGCTGTTTGCGTCTCGACGGTTAAAACAGTTGACCTGAGAAAGCAAACAGAAGTGGATGCAGAAGTTCAAACATATCAAGGACTCTGTCTGGATTTCAAGAACAGGTACAGTAACAGGCAGGTACCTGCACTTTCTTACGCCAGAACTGCAATACATTTGTCAAAGCAAAGTGCATTGTTCAAGCAATTGTCTTTCGAAGAAGCAAACAAAAACACGTAGACTCAATCCCACCCACATTGACACACCCACGTGTCTGCTTCAAATTCTGGCATCAATCATTGGAGATTTCCAGCAGTTTCCAGAATCAGCCGGGGCCTCTCGATGCCGAGGACAGGACGCTCCAGCACATCCATTGGCAAAGTTGTGCACCACCTGTTCTTGAAGCTAGGCACTCCTCCAATAAGCACCCCATACTGTTACCACTGAAACTGAAGCCAACGTGCCAATACTCACCATCACTCGCAAAATACTGCAAGCAGCAAGGCATCTAGCTTTACCACCTTTCACCCATTTCGACAAATGCATCTTGGTTTCCGACGTTTTTGTCAGAGGTGCAACTTGAAACTCCCCACCAAGTGATGGTACTGCCAACCTGCAGAGCGGCATGGTCGCTCAGAGGGAGTCCTGGTCCCAACCACCATTTGCAGTGAGTTATGATACTTATGGACCATGGCCCATGGATCTACTGATTCCTCGGCCCAAGCAACTTAGACTTAGCCGCTCGCCTTGTACTGCTCAAATAAATCCACTCCGACACCGCGCCATAAGGTGACTTCCCGAGTTGGGAGCCTACAGGTGACATCTACATTGAAAGACAAAATGTTTATGCTTGCACGGTCTTGCTCTTCACAACACATGCAACATTCCACCATATGTGCGCAGGTCGCGATACTATCAACAGATCGAACAACTCAAGATCCAAACAGTTGACTGTCACTCAGCACCACCACGCCTGGCACACGCCTCAAAGAGCATGCGAAGGTATGAGTAGTACGCAGCAGCCTGAAAGCACTTGCTCTACGCTGTACATGAAAAGCATCGAAAGTGCTGTGCAATTCTTCGAATATAGACTTCACGAAAAGAAATATATGGGGATGGGTCAAAACCCTGGTACCTAGTGAACCCCAAAATAGCTGGTAAATGGATGTTCATCCCACTAAAAATGGTATCTATAGGTATTGATCCATACCCATATTGCAATTTATTGTCAGGGAAGCGGCAAGCGGTATGTCTTGCACGCCTGATCGCGGTCTTCATCTCGCAATGCCTGAACAGGAGTGGCAAAGCATCTCAAAGATTGGAAAGGACATTATTTATCAACCATTTCAATAAAAAGTAGCTGTGATTTGATCATGCACAGGACACTTCTCTACTTTCGATATCTGTCCATATCTTTCGATACCTCGCCACTGCGCTGTACTGCGCTCAACTCCTGTCCAACTTGGAGCCAGATTTTGCACCTTGTTGAGTTGCTTGTAGATGGCATTGGAGGTATACAGCCTCAGCAAGAGGTCACTGTACAAAGCTGCAATGCTAAGACCATCAGAGATGGGACTTATTGGTTTTCTAAGGAATACCCAGTTACTGCAAAAGCAGGGCAAAACCCAACACCTTTAAGTCTCTTTAAGAGTATGTAGCAAACCACGGCGTGATTGGACATGGGATTTGCTTCGTTTAGAGGCAGAACCTACTCTTGAACCTGGCGACATGAATTTAGCCAAGCGCAAAAAAAGAAGCGAACGATCTCCCAGATCTGAACATAGACACCAAACCACAGCAAACTGATGAGACCTCAGCACTCAAAGGCAGCTCTTGCAACTGAGATCCCAACAGAATGGAGCCGTAGAGCTCTTGGTTCATGGCTTTAATTGGCTTGCCCGCTTTCTTTTTCTGTCAGGAAGTTCGAGCGAGAAATAAAACAATGCTGAGATTTCTGCTGGAGTCTGCGCAGCATGGTGTCATAGAGTTTCACAAATGTTTCCAAGATTTTCCAAGACTCAAGAACTGCACAAACTATGAAGCCCCCTCTCATGAGTCACAACTAGCTTTCTTGTTTCAGCCTTTCGCAAGACCGAATGATTCACAGGCAAAGAGCAAGAGGCCAGGTCAAAACACTGGCACCGTTTCTCTGTTCAAACACGTTGCTACCTTGAGGCCCGGTCGCATATTGCGTAAAACCAAGCGCCTCCCACCCTAGAACTACACAGTCCATGCAATCGGCGCTGCACTGGAGACACAGGTATCTGAGAAGACGTTCGGGTCACAAAAAATCTTAAGCCAAGTTTTTGCGGCGTATGCGGAGCAAAAGCTCAACCTTCCTCTTGCATTCATCCAGAAGCTGTTTGGCTTCTCCCACCTTCTGGTTAACTTGCACGATCTGGTCACCAACCTTGACCACACTAAGCTGGGAGCAGTAGCGGTTCCACTCCTGCACCAAGCCTGCGCCAATACAAGTTACCTCCAGGCGCTCTTCGTTGGGAGACACATCTAAGCCCAACTGTGAACAGGACCCTTTCCTCAGAAATACCAGGTACTCATTGTTCAGCACCACTGGAGCCAAATCTTGAGTTGAAACCTCCAGAAGGCCTGCTTTGAGGAAGGCCACCTGTACGCGCTGTATGCATGAAGGAAGGCCACCATCGGACTCGGAGGAAGCGCCCAGGCCGCACACCACGCCCTGGTCCCCGGAGTAATGCACCAGGTCCCCGGTGTTCACTTCTGTCGGCGCAATCGCTTCGATCTCTTCGATCGCTTCCAGGTCTGAGCTCAAACACATCATGGCGGTGCCATTGTCCAGCCTTACCTTCCACCGCATCATGCTGCCAAACCATTGCACAGTTGTGCCCGTGCTACATGATCTATATGCTTCTTGTAGCTCATTGCAAACCTTGACGCGCTGGTTCTGTTTGATCACGCTCTCTGCATGCTTCAACACAACTTGCTGCATCTGCTGCTTGCGGCACTCTTCCAAGATTTTATCGATCGCAGTCTCTCCATTGACCTGCACAATGTGGTCACCAGTTTTCACAGGCTCAGTGGCCATGGTGTTCCATCTGGCAACAACTCCGTGGCCGTCAATGGAGCTAACCTTCAAGATCTTGTTTGATTTGTCGATTTGGAGATGGATGCCAAATTTCTCCTGGGAGGTATTGATTTCCATCAAAAATTCGCCTCGCCGGAGTGTTACATCTGGCTTCTGTGACAGCTTCTTACCCGGCTTCTTGTTGGGGCCCTGGAGTGTTAAGCGCAGACTTGGATGTCCAGCTTCTGCATCCTGTAGACGGGCAGCACCCTGGCCGGTGATCTGATTGCTGCTCAAGTCCAATTCGCATAGACTCTGGGTCTGCACGAGGGCATCTGCAAGCTTTTCAGCTCCCTTGTCACCAATCAAATTGTTCATTAATTTCAACTTCACAAGACGAGACTTGGACAAAGCCGCTGCCATGGCCTCTGCGCCAATATCAGCAACTTGGTTGTCTCCGAGATAAAGCTCTTGCAAAGAAGTGTTTGTCTTTATGGCCTCTCCCAGAATTGCAGCCCCGCCATCACCAATCTGATTGCGGTGCATGTGCAGAGAAGTCAACTGCTGCGCATCAATCAATGCCGGGAAAATTGCCATGACACCAAGATCTCCTAAGCGGTTTCCACCCAAATTCAATGCAGTCAAGGAGGCATTTCTGCGAAGGACGGCAGCAATTTCCACCGCCTGCACCTCGTCAATATCCCAATTGAAGAGAAGGACCACCGGCCCCTGCAGCTGCGTCAAGAGCCCGGGGAGCGGCGCCGGCGGTGCCATTGCAGAAAGGCTTGGATCAGCGCACTCGGAGACTCAGCACTCAGCGGGATCCAAGAAGTTCGAGCGATAAAACGATGAGATTTCTGCTGTCATCTGCTGTCTGCGCAGCATGGTGTCATGGAGTTTCACAGATGTTTCCAAGATTTTCCTAGACTCAAGAACTGCACAAACTATGAAGCCCTCTCACAACTAAATTTTAAACTAGGCGTTGCAGGTTGCCATTTGCACAAGACATGACTGGATGGACCTCCAAAGCTTTCCCTTTCTTCGTGCAATTTTCCACATCCTGCTTCAGTAGTAGGTGATAGCATGCTTGGAACAGAGCTACCATCTTTCACCCAAGAGTTTGGCAAAATCGACATCCGAACCATCATACCTCGACTATGACCAAATCTCATGTTGCACTCTGATCAAGCCAACAAATGAACAGCCATGCTCTTTTGTAGTGATGGTTCGTGGCGTCTGCGCTGAGGATCCGGCCTTCTTTGAACAAATACTCTTGCATCCATCCAACAAAGTCGAAGGCAATGGCAATTCCATGACGCCGCTGATGGGTGTGAGTTTCTCCTGGAGATGCCATTAAGTCAGCGCAATACATGACCTCCTGCACTGCTACTCCACTTCGCTGTCCTCGTCCTCTCCACCAATGTCTTCGAAGCCCATACCTTAGGCTGGGAGCTCAACAGCCACCAAGAAGAGTCCAGTCTGCCAGTCTGGAAACAACATGTGCGTCATCCGAGTTTTGAAGTTCAGTCACCAATGCAATGAGATGACATATATAATTATATGAACATCAATGAACCACATACATAGCATCTATCCATATGACCCATATGTATCCGTGAGTTTCCCCAGAGCCCAGTTGCGTAAGTAGAACTGCAGCAAAGCCCTCTCGGAGCCCAAGAGATCCTTCGACTAGTGAAATCGTCTATGGGGGTACCCCAAAATGGATGATTTATCATGGGAAATTCCATGAAAATCCCATGAAAATAGAGGATTTGGGGGTTAATTCATGTTAATTTTAATTCTATTTTTAGGAAACCTCCATATAAGGTCTCGTTGAGGGACCTGCCAAATTGATCTTTCTGAAAACTTGTGTGAAAGGGTGCGGCAAATTTCAACAATGTAGTGCAAAGGGACGAGACGCTGAAGCAGCTCCTGGTTGTTGATCGGCGGCGGTGCCTTCAATCCGAAGTTGTGTGGAATAAGGGCATAGAACCTGAGTTTGCACAACAGCTTTGCACAATCTTTTGTTTTAAAGAATTTCATTCCGCACTGCATTGAATGAAGGACCATCTTCGGGCCGTCCAGCCTGGAATTGGGTTCCCTCAAAACCCCATTCTTTATCATCCTGAAACCACCAAATGGCCGTAAGACATCATGAAACATCATGAAACTTATTGGAATTGGGGGTCGTTATCTGCCATCTTTGGGTTTCAAAAAAACATGGTGCCCCACATATTTCGAGGATCAAAGTCCCATCAGTTGACTCATGCCGAGAGGCTCGGCTGAGTGTGCGTTGATTCTGGCCTTCTGCATTGCATTCGGCGTTCCACCTGACATCAGAAAACACACCATCAAACGGAGGGCTCCACGGAGCAAATGGTCAGCTTCGTATGTTGATACCGTTTTGCTTCAAGTATGTTCAAATTTTAAGTGGGTCTTGAACCTGACTCTGAACATTCGTGCAGACTTCCAGGATGATCAGGATGCGAGAGTCATTAGGCTGTTGATTCCCCCCACTGGAAAAGCGCCAGAGATCGCCAGAGTGTTTTTCTTAGCAGAACCTGCCATCATTGATGGGTATCCTCTAGTAATCAAACAATATCAAACAATGTCAATGGAAAATCCAGCAATAATTATCGATGTTCATTGATGTTCCCATTCAAATCTCCATTTCTAGGGGAGTTCCCAGCACGTGAACCGCCTTCACCAATCTCCATGAGGAGATTCTCGATGCTGTCGAGCACCGTGTTGCCCTTCTCCACCGCGGCCTTTCGAAAAAAGGGATCCAGGACATTGCAGGGCTGTTCGTTTGGAGACCCGCTACAGCTAGATCACGCTGGTGACATAAGGCATATAGATGTGTATATATATATAATATGTATATATATATATATATATCATATGTATATATATATCAGATCTATATAACTTAAGTATATACATAATATACAGAATATGATATCCAATGTATGTATGATAAGTAATACTAGTAATATACTTCCAAGCAGAAAATCAACAATCCATCCATCCCGCCTTCGAAAGCTGGCCCAAAGGCTGCCCACCTTGAGCCTCTTCCTGTGATGGGTCCACCTCCTGGTGCAGGTGCCGTTTTTTTCCAAAGGATGATTCGAATCATCCCCATTAAGATGGTTTAAAATGGCCATTTAGGGGTATGCCATGGGTAGCCATATCATGGTATACCCCATTTAAAATGACCCAAATGAAAAGGATAAGTGAAAATATGTGAAGATCAAGCATCCTCCTCATGCTCCGTCTTGGCTTTTTTCCTTTGCAAAGCCTGGCTTTGATAGAAAGCTGCCCAAAAAGGGGACACGAGGAAGGACTCTGCAGGAATTCCATCACGGTGTGTGGCACACAAACATCCATGAACAAACGCACAAAGCACAACGACCTGAAAAGTATGGGAAGCTGATGGAGAGAAGTGATCCAACCTTGTGCTGGATATCCACTCGGCTGAATTTGCCAGGTTTCTGCCTTGCCAGGTTTCCATCTCAACATGGCCACCAAAGAGCAGAACTGACTAAGAGCGTTGCACGAACTCCGAAGGTTTGTGCCCATAGGTGTTGCCAGTCTTGTCCTTGGCAACTGAGTCCCTTGCGACTGGCCAGTCCGAACATTCAAAGGACTCTTGGATTCCACAAAACTCATTGGCTGGTCAATAGCACTCTGAATCGAGGGAGCATTGACAACATGTGACAACTTTCTAGGACTTCATGGCAAACCTGGGCTCTATAAGTCAATTTCTTCGGCTTGGGATCGAGATAGAGCTTGCTGAAACTCTGGATCGCATTGACTTTCGATGAGTGGTGCCTCAGTGGGCATAGCAAAGAACAGCAACTGTCACAGTAGAAAGCAGGTCCACAGAGGAATCTGCTCAAAAGATCTGGACGCACAGAGAAACTACAGTATTTAAACTTTGAACTATCGGATTCGATTCTAGTAAGTTCAAATTAAACACCTTGGAGATTCTGGCCAAGATTGTGCCTTGTGGAGATTCCAAATTACTAAAATGCTCAATGCCCCAAGTTCTGGAATTAGAGCAACAGAAAACAATTCATATATGTTCCTTGTCATTGCCGTTGGCTGTCAGATGTTGGACGCAACATACTGACATCAGGCTCACACCAAAAAACCTCGCATCCACAATCATTCACAGTGCTGTATTTTCCCAACCCCAACTCCAACCAACCTTTTTGGTTTTTCTGGGCTCCAAACTCTTCAAGTTTCGTTCCACCCTGGCTCACACCTGCAAAACTTCAAAACTTGAATCTGGGATCCGGTCGCCCATTCCCTTTTCTCAAGGGCATATCGCTGCCAAAATCTGTACCAAGCATTTCTGACAAGAAGGAGCTTAGCTCAAAACACCCTCTGCTACTTACATTGGCTGTCATATTGCTTGTGTGGTTGGGGTCAAAACCCTGGTCCCCTGATTTTCACATCAAAATACGCATAATACGCTGATGCCGAAGCAACTCATCACGCGCCAAGCGCCAAACACGTCAATCGTGTTTGTTTGGTTTGTCCAGAAAGCCTTTAAACTCTGAAAGTCGTTGACTATGTTGACTTCTCCTGTTTTGCCTAGCACGTGCGACCATCTTCTTTCCATCCTTGACAGATTTTGACCTAGCAGCTGGTCCCTGGGTTCGGAGTGCACCTATGCGACCCCACTTTCGCCACACCCAGTAGCAACTACCACCAGAGTCCTTGGAATGGTCATATTCAGGTGATTTGGGTTGGAAAGGAATGTCAAGGAAGCTGGCGGTCAGTCCATTTGTGGGTTGGAACTTTTTGCCATTTAGACGTCACTGATTGCAAGGTCCTTCCGGATTGAAAAGCCATGAACAGCCGTTAGTTCATCCATGCACAGCTATGGTCTTTGCTCAGTCTGTTCATACGCATTTCCATGATGATGTTGGCAGGATTGGTGAAATGTGCGGTGTGGCGAGGTATTCTGAGGCATTGGCCTTATCGGACTCCAACACGCACAACCTTTGCACTGGATGCCAACTGTTGAATTCGGGATGGAGACTCCAAATCAAGTCAATCAACAAAGCACCCTGTTCAAGCATCAAGCTAATGTCACTTCAGAAAGAGGGGAAGGGGAGGGAGACTGATGCACTTGTGTATTCTTCCGCCTCCTAAGTCCGAAATATATACAACATTGTACAACTATGTTGGCCTTTGCTTCTTGATATTAAAAATCAGCATCAAATCGCGTTTCAAAGGGAAACCATCATTATTGTAATCCGTATTAATCCTATGGGCCTATGGGTCCCATTGGGGCGTAGCTGTGTGGCTTCTGCCAAGCCACGTGTAGAAGGAGTTGGTTCCTGACACCATGTCAGTCTGGCTCAACATCTCGCTGTACACTCGCTGCTTGGACCTCACAACGTTGGAGTCTTTCTTCAGGAAACTTCAACAGAAAATACAGAAACAGCCCTCTAGACATGGCATGACACTGCTGATTTATAGGATTTATATGGATTTATGAATCTGTTGTTTGGCGCCTGTCCACCAGTACATGCGCACGTTCGATCAGCTCACCAATGTCGGTGTCCATGTTTACGCCCTCTTTTTCAACCTGGGCGGAGCCAGAAGGATCAGAAGGCAGCTGGGCCGCTGGGATTCCCACTAAGAGAACTTGGGTACTTCTCGAGCAGGACTCTGCTTTCCATTTGGATACATTTGGAATTCGTGGCGTCCCATGTTCGAAGAGTCTTTTCTAGTCCCTTGGCACTTTCACTTACGAGCCTGTAAGACAGTGTTTCTCGGGTCCAGATATGTTTTTGAGAGCCGAACAAACCTCTGCGTGGCAACTTCCTCAATCTTTTTAAACCTTGGAATGGTTGGAGAGTCGTCATGACCTGGGGTTGAGTGCAGACCTTGGCACTGCAGACTAAAATCCGAAAATCTGCGGCAATGGTTTTCCGACTCAAACAGTAATGTGTAGTTTAAACATATTTTAATCATGTTCAAATCGCTAAATCCGTTTTGGGATCGGCTGGGCTCGATTTGTGCGACCAGTAATCCTCATTTTTGCCTCATATCTGTCAGGTGGCTGTTTGCGAGCGTCACCCCAAAGTAAATTCCTGGAGGCAAAGCTTGGCAGTGCTCAAATTCTAGGAAACCATAGTGCCATAGCCTATCTTAAGACCAAATGGGCAAAGTCATACAGAACATTCTCAACGAAGCCTTCAAGAATATATATATATACATTATATTATATTATATTATACTATATTATATTATATTATATATATATATATTATATTATATATATAAGATATATATATATAAGATATATATATAATATAATATATCTAATAATTATATATATATTGAAAAGAGTGTGAAATGGTGAAATGTTGTTGGCTTTGAACCCTTCCAACCATCACAACCATCATGTCACTCCGAGGGTTGGAAGGGCAAAAGGGGTCCACCACCATCCGCACGTCACAACACAAGACGTCGTGTGCAACATGCCAGGAGTCACGGAGCCATATCTGTGACGGTGCCAACCTTTCGGGGCTGGCTTAATGTTGGGGGTGCAATTCCGATAAATAGGATATACAAGTTTATTTACATGGATATACAATGCATTACAATGTTATATCATGTTATATCCCACAATCAAGCTATACAAATGAATATATCACATCGCATATCATCGCATCACAACATGTTGAACCAAAGTCATCTCATCACGCAGCTGCCTCAAGTTTGTAGAGAAAGAATTCATCCACGCCGGGCACACCCTCTGTCTTGGCTGCCTTGGCTACCGGAAGCCGAGCGGGGCCGGTCTCTGGTGCATCAATGTGATTGCAAGCTGATACATTTCCGCAGAATGATATTGAATGAATTCCTACAGTATCCGCCAAAGATATCCGAAGATTCCGAAGATTTCCCCAGCATATTTCGCAATCCGATGCCATGGCCCACAGGATGTCCCTGATGTCCCTGGCATTGTCCCTCCCTGAGTTCCAAACCTCCACTTCTTTTGGATCTTTTTTGAGCAATTCTGAACTGGAAACCACGAAGCACGTCGCCTGGGAAAGAAGACTTGAAGAACACATGTCCATCAATCAACGATAATAAATCAATAATTAACAAATATCAACATTATCATTAGTCACTAATTAATCCCGGAACCCTCAAGCCCAAGAAGCAACCAAATTCGGTGTGTCGTTCCTGCTCTCAATATAAAATGGTTTGTCCTTGCCTTGTGTACCTGTGCCTGTTGCTGCACCTGTGCCCCAGCACCACAAATCCCACAAACAGGGTCAAATCATTTTTAATAATACGTATTCAGATATATCTAGAAATCCTAAACTACCACAGCTACGGAAACCTCTTGAAGAAACACAAAGGCATGGAAGTATTGGAGCCACGGTGCGTTACTTCTGCAATGACACAACTCGCAAGGCGCCTTCGTAATGGTGTCTGTGATCTGGCCCATGTGGCCTTTTACCAGATCCTCAGCGTTGTGTTGATGACAACCTGTGAAGTCTGTAGGAAACAGGCAGCAGTTTATCTCCCACGTGCAAAGTAACCTAATTGGAGGAATTAAAGCTGAAATCCTGCGTGCAACCCAGGTGGTTCAGTCAGCCACTTGTTTCAGCCACTTGCTTCTGAGTACCCCGCTGCGAGCTCCTCGCGATGATTTTTTTCAAAGCCCTGGCTTCAGGTGCACTCAAAGGGAACAAGGCAAAAGATATCCCGTAAATATCCGTAAATAGCTTTCGTGCAAGTCTCGCTTGCGTCAACAATTCGGCGAGAATGAAAGGCTCGAGGGTTTATGCAATTGTTCTGTTTGACCTGACCTCCACCCTGAAACCTCAAGAATAAACAAGAATAAACCAGAATATTTTTTTCAGATGTGGTTTTCCAAGGTTTTCCATGGTTCTTCCCATGAAGAGCACAATCTGGCTGGGGGATGGCCTTCGACACATACACCGTGAGGTTCAACAGAGGTGGTTTTGCTTGCACCGTCTGCGATGACCTGGGGATCATGCCACGGGAAACAAAGGAGATCTCGGGATTCCGATATTCAGATCATGACAGATTGACAGATGATTGTTGTGTGCAACATTGCCATATTACCATCTAAATTCATCGAAATTCCATCGTTGTTTAGATAGTGCACTATAGTGCACTATCATATGTTTTATCAGTTTTGATCTAGTATTATATGATATTATATATATGCAACAGTGTTCGAAATAGATCGAAATAAAGGGACACGCTTCACAATCTTCACAACTGAAAACCATCCTTGACTGTCATGATATGACCTCTATGGGTTCAACAACTTAAACTAAGTTGGTGCTTCCTTGCTGCCAGAGCAGCTGTGAAGGTTCAGGCCCATCTTCTGTGATCTTCCTGTTGAAAATACGAGTGCCCACCTGTGCAGCTGCACTTTGTCTCGAGTGGAAAAGGGGGAGAACCAGACCCGTGACCATCTCCGTAGAAAGTCACCATGAAATTGACCCTGCGTCGACGGCCTCTTGGCCTCTGAAGAGCTTTCAAAAGAACACAACTGTCACAACTTCAGACCAAGCTCTTCAGAACCATCATGAGTTTCTCTAAACCCCTGGCCCATCATAGCCAGTGGTCATAGTTTCATCATTGTTGTCATAGTTTCATCATTGTTCACCTCCATCATATTATAGCTGTCATAGCTTTCATCAACCAATGCAGGGACCCTGGGCCTTCAACTTCATCTTGCCCAGCTTTCCATTGCCCAGCTGCTTGGCCGCAGGGGTGAGTTGCCACAGCTGCCTCTCTGGCTCTTGAGTCCTTGGCGCTAAAAAAACGAGGTGGCATCAGTCCCAGAATCCAGAACTGGTTTAAGGATGTTCAAATATGTTCAAGGTGTGGAAAATTCATCGGAACTCCCTAGATTTGAGGGTCACAACAGCAGGTTTCTATGGTTTAGCGCATTGAACCATGTCAGTGATCGTAGTGATCTCAGATGCGACGAGAGATTGTTTTCAAGCCATCACCTCATTACTTGATATTACTTGCATTGGTCCCTGATCCCTTGAGCCAAGGGTCTGAAAGGAGCACTTCAAGTGGTCCGTGAGCCATCCAGTGCCTCAAACGGTGGCATGGGGCACAGAGGATGTTGGACAGTGGTCCACCTTGAATGTTAGCTGAGAAAGGACAGCTTGGTACCTGCATTGAACATCACACTTCTTTAAACCAGATTGGATTCCAAACTGTTTGCATCACAACGCAGCCAAAGTGTTTGAAACTGTGGCAATGCCTTGATTTTGACAACTGGCCCACCAAGCTACACTTGTAGACCTCGCCATCTAGGAGGATCCTCCCAGGTCTGCCGTGATCCTGCAGGCACTGGCTTGAAAAGGACATGAGGACATGAGGACATGGAACATGATAAAACGTGATGAAACGGTGGTTTGATAGCCGATTCTTATGCCCTGTCATTGCCAGTTGCTGCCATTACCAGTGCCCAAAGCGCTGTAGACACTGTAGAGAATGGACCGCTCCTTGCAAACCTCACAAGGAGCTGTAGCGCCGAATAGAACTCCATCTGCGCAGAGCTGCAGCAAAGTGGAATTCACTCGAAGTTTTTGCGTCGGATACTCATTCAGTACCTTGGCAAAGCTGCAGGGAAGCAAGCATCTTGTCAACCATGGCACGATGGGTCACCATCCTTCTGGGTTTCTGCGCAATGGAAAAGGTTCCAGTGGCAGTGTGCCGAACTATGCTGAACTGTTGGATGACGGGCTGCAGCCATTTCATTCAGATCTTTTGGCGCCAATTCTTGCAGCATATCCTGGATCTCGTGCAGTTTCTTGCTCTGCGTCGCCCTCAGATCTCTCCCACTGCCTATTGGCCTATTTTTGTTCCCTACCCATGGCCTCCCATCAACTGCAAACAACAACCTCAAACAAAGCAATCACCACCGCATCACACGAAGATTGTATATCAAAGCCTTCACTCTCCATTGACCTTAAGAAATCCGAAAGATGGGATTCCATACCATGGTGTGAAAAAGATATTCAAATCCCATCAGGTCCAAGTGACAGCTTTGAGTCGCTGGCACCACCGGAGTTTCCTTCTTCACTCTTGGGGATGAACTTCAAAATATCCTTCCAATGCTGCAGACACAATCCAATCTCATTATCCGTCCTCACACGGCACTGCACCACAAGCCCATCCCACAGCTACATCTACAAGTTATTACAATTTGCAGTACTCTAGACGTAGATGTTTGGCAAAGGTACGGGTCTTCTCCAATTGCAGCAATCTTAAATCAGAGAAAATAAGCTTCGGTGGTATCCCCAACAGCCACAGCATTTTATTTTTACAAATCTTTCTGAAGCGTACTGCACTGCGAAGCCAAGCGCTGCAAACACCTCAGCTAGGTTTCCGTCAGTTAAATGAACCTGACCTCGCTTGGCTTCTGCAAACTTCTCCGAAACCGTTGAACTTGACTTGGCCCTGCACCAAGGCTTCTCCGGAACCTTCTCCGGAACCCTGTTGAGCCTGACCTGCTGGCTCTGCGCCAAAGCCTCCCAGACCTTCTCCGGATCTGTTGAACCTGATCTGGCTCTGCGCCAAAGCATCCGGGAACCTTCTCCGGATTTGTCTCCAGAACCCTGTTGAACCTGACCTGGCTCTGCACCAAAGCCTCCCAGACCTTCTCCGGAACCTTCTTCGAGACCCTGTTGAACCTGACCTGGCTCTTTCTCCGGAACCTTCTCCGGAACCCGTTGAGCCTGACTTGGCTTTGCACCAAGGCTTCCTGGAACCTTATCCGGAACCTTCTCCCGAACCCTTTTGAACTTGACCTGGCTCTGCACCAAAGCCTCCAAGACATTCTCCGGAACATTCTTCGGAACCCTGTTGAACCTGACCTGGCTCTGCTACCAAAGCCTCCCGGAATCTTCTCCAGCACCTTTCGGAACACCCTCGCAGACCTTCTCCGGAACCTTCTCCGAAACCCTGTTGAGCCTGACCTGGCTCTGCACCAAAGCCTCCCACACCTTCTCCAGAACTGTTTCCGGAACCCTGTTGAACCTGACCTGGCTCTGCACCAAAGCCTCCCACACCTTCTTCGGATCTGTTGAACCTGACCTGGCTCTGCACCAAAGCCTCCCGGAATCTTCTCCAGGACCTTCTTCGGAACACCCTCCCGGACCTTCTCCAGAACCTTCTCCGGAACCCTGTTGAACCTGACCTGGCTCTGCACCAAAGCTTCCCAGACCTTCTCCGGAACCTTCTCCGGAACCTTCTCCGGAACCTTCTCCGGAACCCTGTTGAACCTGACCCGGTGCCTGCACCAGTGCACACCGGAGCTATTCTGGGCTGAAGACCCCATTAGCTTACGCTGTTGGGGAAAAATGTGTCAAGGTGCAATGCAACCTTTGAGTTGACTCTGAATTGATAGATGCCGCCACCAAAGGGATACCCAATCTTCATCAATTCATCATTGGTCATGCCTTCTGCTCTTCTGGTCGCAAGCTTGAAAAGCCAGCCAGGAGACCAACATGTCTTGGCAAGCAATTGCCAGACCTTGATTCATGTCAAGATCTGTCAAGTTTTCTCCTCAAATTCAGAACTTCTTTGTGGATGTTCATCCTGGTTGGATGCCAAGATGCAGTAGACACCCTGCATGAAACCAATTTGTGATCTTCCCGTCGAAGGTGTCAGATGCCACGATCTTACCAATCCTGCGAAAGGATGGGCTGTGTGGCTGGTGGTGCATTATGGTCTGTTATGGTGTGATATGGTGTGTTGCCTTGGTTCTTTCCCTTTGGTTAGCTGAAGGATTATAGGGAAAAAGTCACAGCAGCAAAAATAGCAGTGCTGACGCTCTTTGATCCGCTTGACATAGCTTCAGACTCTGCTCTTCACATTCCAGATGTTCAATTTTGTTTCTCCGTCTCCAACGCATCTTGGAACCGTGGCCTTAAAGCTCCTGTCATTATCTTCTCCTTGATGAGTTCAACTTGCGACGGATCGACAAGGGGAGGGTTGCTCAGTTACCCATTCGCTGCTCTAAGGCTGCAGCTGAACACTTCTTGCACGTTGCGCGAGCACTTTTTGCTAATTCCACACCTTGACGCGACAGGGGCGACCTGCCTTTTGTGTTTATTCGTTTCGGGCGAGACATTTGGCTCGTGTTCAAGACCCAGATTGCCCTATGTCCAAGACGATGTCTTGTATCTTGCAAAGAGATCAAAATTCATGTTCATCGTCATAGTCCTCGTCGGCCTCATCGTTGTCGGCGTCATGGTCGTCGTCGTTGTCATTGTCACCGTCATCATCATTATATCATCATTATCATCGTAGATTGGGAGTGTGCTTAACATCATGTCACAATAACTCCGAATTCTAAGAATCACCATGGCAAGGGCTACTGTTGGTGACCCTGTTACTTTCCCAAAATCTGCAGATCGACGGTCGGAGGGGTCAAGCAAGACAGGCAGCAAAAAAACGGCAGTACATTGGCCCATTGGCTGTTCAAGTGCCAAGACACTAAAGTCACCATCTTCCCAAAATATTTCCCCTTCAGCTGGCGTGATGTCCTGAGACGCAGCTGAAGTGTGATTTGGGTGCCCCGTGCAGATTCTTTAAAGTCAGGACAACACGATGCGAGCACACTTCACACTGCAAGCACCTGACTTTACTATTGGAACTACAAGTTGGGTCATCTTTTGCACTGAACAATCTAATTTGCAGGGATGGGTTGACAAGTTGTTGACCCCTAGATACTTCAGAACTTCTGAAGCGTTCCAGTTTCCCAGCCTTCAAAGATGGTCCTTCAACAGCATCAGACTGAACTTGCGGTTTGGCCTGGCAAAAATACAATCTATCTTTATACGATCTACTATTATACTGATGTTGGGTTTTCCACGATATAATCTGAGGCACATGTTTAGATCCATGGCTTCCCGCTCTTCCTCAGTACACTTTGCCTCAATTGTGGATTGGTTCAAACCTATTGGACCCAAAGAATGCTTTGTTTAATTGCAGTAAAACTCAAAATGACAAAATTTGTGGGTCAATTGATAATACAATCTTGACCCATTGTCTCTTATCTCAAAGCTGAACCTGCCCCAGCCTGGGCCTTCCCTTTGGCTTTGGCTTTTGGCTCCTGCCAGCCCATGTCTGGAGACAAATGGAGCAATGCAGTGCCATCAGCATCGTTGCCTTTTTATATTGTTTGATGCAAAACAAACCATCCAAACCTATCCAAACTTCTCAGAGCTCCTCTTCCTTGGCACGGCCAGCTGCTTTCGCCTTCGCTTTGGCTCGTGGCTTTTCTTCTTCCTCTTCCTGGCAAATACTGGTGAGAGGATTGATGATTGCATAGCTCCACCACGAGCATCGAACAAGAAAACAATGAGGCAACATCAATCACAAGCGACAGACTGCCAGAGGAGCCTCTTGAGGCTTTGCTCGGCCCTTTGCTTTTGCCTGGCAAAGTTCGCTGATGGACATGTGATACAGTATCTATTGACATCTCTCTCTCTCTCTCTCGGGCTTGTCCAAAGCATGTCACGGCAGCTGAAATTGAGTTGCTGATGCCAGTCAAGATCCATGACATCAAGTGTACATGTAGACTCAGATTCAAAAGTGTTGCCTCCACTGAAAGCTACGGACGCTGCCAAGTGTACAAGGGCAATAAAGGGGTATGCACAACAAGCAAGGTTTCCTCGTCTTTTGCAAGCCAGCCAAAAGGACCCCGCAAAGCTGAAGCATGCAGTAACCTCCCAGCAGCAAATCAATAGTTTTCGCCTTAGCTTTGGCTCTTGGCTTCTCTTCTTGTTCTTCTTCTTCTTCTTCCTCCTCCTGTGGAGAAATGCGGGAGGGATGGAAGGACTCTTTCATGCCACTGGGTCAATGTTCAGCCAGGAAGATTTAGACAATGTGTTGGCACTCCTAACAGATGGTCACCGCTGCAAAGATTGACATAGGTGGCAAGACATGAATCAAATATTAGTTGATTGTAAATTGATTAAATTGCAATGCAGAACATTTAGCCAACAGCTTCAAGTTGAATGCCAAACAGATAGAATCTCATCTCGGAACATGAACGCGTAAAAAGCTCTCCACTACGTAGTGTCAACTGGTGAGGTGCCTCTTGAGGCTTCGCTCTGCCCTTTGCTTTTGCCTGAGGGCAGAAGAAAGCGCTGCAAAGGAGTTGCCAGGAATCACCTCCAATTTCAAGCTTTCAAGACTTTCAATCTCAATCTATTCGTATACAAATGGACTTTTGATTGCCACACGCTGTCACACCTTGGGACTCGTCTCAACTTTGCCTGTGCGCGCTTGCCAGCAAATCCTCTAGAACCCGTTTGCCGCTTTGAGATGCTTTGAGTGTGATGTTGTATAACTCAACTCGTCATAGTGACCAAGACATCCCAGGACAGCAAGTTGGAGCCTTTGTTGCATTTTTATGTTTCGATGTCATGTGTTTCGGGGAGACCTTCAGCGTCTTCTAGCCGCGCGCCTCGCTTTGCAGCAGGCTCTGCTGCAGCTTTGGGCGCAGGGCGCTTCTTTGCACAGGCCTTGAGCCGTGTAATGAGGTCCTGCAGGATGCAATCGGCGGATCATGGAGCACGGTGTCCCGAAGTGGCACGCTGAAGAGGGCGCGCATGATATGCATGTACATGCACACTCTTGTGTGTGTGTGCTCTCTTTATGCCTCTTTACGTGCTTATGTAAATATGGACCTGTCTACAAATCAGCTTCTCACTTCAATTATTATGAGTTCATGAGTTTCTGACACAGACCAAACTCAACAGAGCTGGCTATGTGCAATGCTATTTATTTGAGTCTTTTAACTTTTTTGGCATAAAATTGATCAGCCAATTTGGCCTCTGTCCCATACTTAGCCCTGAAGCTCATCTCCTGCTTGCTGCCAGTGGTGGTCAACCCCTGCTCCTCAGCAAGCGTGCCCAAAAAACAGTGCATGTCACAGCTAAATTTCCAAAAGGAGTCAAGAACTGTAATATTATTCAATATATTTCAATATACTGTAGTGCCCAATGGAAACAAGATTGATCAAAACTAATTCATCCCTCCTTCTCAAATGTGCGAAACTGTCGCCCTCTTGAGCTTGATTCGCTACAAGTACATGTGTGTTTCTCTAGAGTATATCTTGCGCAAATCCGTTTGCACAGGGGTTGAATGCGGCTTGAAGGACATTTCCCAAACTATTGGTGAGTTTCATCTAGTTGCGTTCAAAATGAAAGGACAATGAATGTTAATTGCAAACAAGCTGTCTCGACAATTGTAACTGCAGCAACAAGGAAACGCCCAACAGCTGCAGTACAAGCACCACAATCAAGGCGCGGAAATCTCTACATATCTCCAACTGTCTCCAACTGTCTCCACTGATAACCATTGAGACAGAGCTTCTTTCGCCTTTTCCTTGAGCTGTGGCACCGTCATCGAGTCGAACTGGGCTCAGGTGTGACTGTTGCTGCTGGTGCTGGGAACACTTCACATCATCAAAACATACCTTTCGGAATTAAGTTCCAAGATGATCAGGTCTCGAAGCGTTCGATTTTACCGAAAGACTCGGTGACAAATGGTGAAACCATGTGAAACCCATTGACCCTTCAATGCTGGGTTGACGAAACCAACCTCATCACTGGCGCCAGCAGCCGCTGCACGTTTCGGCGGCATGGTTGCAATGGAGATCCGACAAGATCGACAAGCCAAGGAAATGTCGGAAAGAAATGCATGATCCATCAGCATGATCCCATCGTTCATTCGATATCATTCTGGAGTTTGTGGCCACGCTGGTTTACAAGTTCAAACAAGATTCTAGTTGACAATATCTATCAGATTGAAGTATATTGAAATATAATAGCATGTCAGCACGTCGTACAGCTGTCGAGTATGACTTGTTCCATACCGTGGATGATCGTGGATGTTTCCAGCCTTCCACTCACCTGCAGAGAGCCAATGCAGCGAGTACGAGTCCAATAGTCTATAATAGTCTACTAGAGTCTACTCAGTCTACTCTCTTGTCGCATATTCGTTTAACGTTGTTGATTCATCATGGCAATCACATCAGTTCAATTAAGCGGAAATTCCTTGCAAGAGATTTCCGCTGGCAACTTCAAAGAATATGCACATTGAAAGTTTCAGCTCCTCAAAGCAGAATGAAGTCTGGGCAGCATCGCACTCACCCTTTTGCTGCAGCTCGAAGTCCAAAAGGCTGGGACTTTGAATACGTCAACCGGGCATTTGTAGAAACGGCAACTGGCACGGGCCAATCTCCTTGGCAGCCCCAGCTCCACAAGGTCCCAAGGTATCCAAGGTGTGTTGATGGCTTACCTGGCAAACTAAAATGCTTGGGCTGCCAAAGCGCGGAGCTCACACTATGCCCTGTGTCAGAATTGCCAAAACGTTCGCATCAGAAAATGACTACCAGGGTTTCTGGATGTGTTTGACGAATGCATGGCTCCAAGTCTCCAGCAGTTAGTTCTGTGTTTTGATGTTTTTTGTACATACTTCAGAAGTATCATGTAGTATCCGTTCAGATTCCTTGCTCATGGGGGAAACGACATCCTTCCTGGAGATGCATCGCCTTGTTTCGCACTCGCACTAATTACAAATGTCCATCTCGGTCCAGGTCCCATGGAGGTCGCTTCGGGAGTGCCAGCAGCTTCTCGATGAATTTGATCCTCCCCTGCGTCAACAGCAACGACTTGTCGACTTCAGACTTGGCTGGGCAGCTGGGCAGCTGGGCTCAGCTGGGCAGTGTCCTCTGTTCATCTCATGGAGCAACTGGTTGATCCGCATTGAGCTTTGATGGCTGGGACTCATTGGAGGTCTCCTTGTTTGGTGACCTCTTGGTCTTTGACCACTTTACGATGACGCTTCGAGGAATTGCTGACAACAGGCGCTGCCGGTCGGCATGAGAGCTCCAGCCTTCAGTGGGGAGGACGATCTCGGTCAAATGCTGCATGCATGGAATGGCCAACCTCAAGATCTTGGACTCCAAAGCATCAATCCTTGGCAGAATGTTCACACTGGTGATGTCAACAAGTAAATATAAGTAAATATACGTAAATGTTGGGGGTGGAATATGGTGGAACCTCATGGAACCTCTGTGTTAAAAACTCCCTCAAATAACTTCAGCACAAAAAGTCCCCTCTGCAAACTCTCAGAGTCGGTGCATGTCGTACATCCAACTGTTGCAAAAGCTTCGCATGCCGCGTGAGAAAGCCCAAGAAGCGACGGCTTCGCCCGGAATCGCCATTGCTCATGACTCGCCCAGAGCGAGTGCACGTCACGCGCCTAGCATCGAAGAGTTCAGCTTTGTAGGTGAATCCAGCAGCCAAACGGCAGATCTCAAAATCCACCAAGCTCCTTGTTGCATGGCACACGGCCCTCAAGCTATTGTGATCTGCCAAGTTCAAGCAGCTCAATGCAGCGCGACCCGAGTCTGCTGGGAGTCCAAAGAGTGTACCCGGAGTTGGTCCAGGGGCTCCAATGGCTGGAGCTCCTGCGGCAAGTTGACCAGGTCGGCGGCATCGCGCCAGCGCCGGAGGGCTCTGTAGGATCTTCAAACGCCTGGCAGAATCTGGCGGATAGAAGTGGCAAACAGATACCCTCTGGTAAACTAACATAGCTATTGAAAATCACCATGTTTAATGGGAAAACTCACTATAAATGGCCATTTTCAATAGCTACGTTAAATTACCAGAGGGTATGGCCCTGGCATGATATTACAAATGATGTAAGCTCGATCTCTTCTATAGGACGTAGAAACCATTCGAAACTGGCCGTGGTGACAGGACATGTGATACAGGCAGTTTAATCTTATGGTTAAACTGGTTAAACTGTTAAACCAAGAAGTCATTCGAAAATTTCTGATCATGTACGTTCCTATAACTTTGATAGCCAAAATCATTTTTAAAAAACCTTGGGTGCCATGGAGGTGATCGTGGCGAATCATTGTGCTCCCAAATAGAAATGGGCAGCTAAAATGTTCCAAGATGATTCAGCCAGTGCCAAGTTATATGATTATATAGATCCCTTGGAGAGTTATCAGTTATCAGATGTTATCAGAGTTTGAGTCGATCTGGTTAGAGTTTCTTGACATTGACGGACCCCGCCCCCCTTCGGCGTCTGCCTGCGTAGCTCCGTCTTGGACAAAGTCTGTAGCAGCGCAGCCAAACGCCGTGCTGCGGCCGCCGAAAGCCCCAAGGCCGCCTGACGATGGAAACTTCTGACATCTATAGAAATTATAGAAATAAATATATATATATGCACTCAACATCACTCAACTGTTTCTTGAAACCATTTACATGGATATTCATGGCATATCATTACATCAACATACATCAAATAGACGTACAGATTATTTGCCAGAATAATATATCAATCCAGTGGTCCAAACTTTGGGCGTGGCCAAAAAGAGTTCTGCCCTGCAGAAGTTTCGACCTTCAAATCCTGCGCTGCGGCTGCTTCGGCTGGTTTCACCTTGATTTGTTGGTCCAAAGTGAGGCGATACCCCATTCAGTCCCAGTGCATCCCTAGTCCGCCATGTGTTGCCTGAAGTTTGATGGATGATAGCCCATTATTCATGGTTCACTCTGAAGCACCAGCATTGAAGCGCCAGTATCTACTCAGCCGGGTACCTCCTCATGGCTTTTGCGACCTCACGATTGCTATCTGCTGGGTCAAGAGCTACTGGGATGCATCATGAAGTTCTTTACAGCACGGAAAGCGGTGCAGTGGATTCTGAATGATTCTGACAGTCGAAAAAAATATACATTGGCAAGTTGAATGGTTGGTAAAGAGTCTGACAATGCCTAGCTCAACAGAGGCCTAGGCCTGATCTCCAATGATGCTGCCATGCACACAATTACACAGTTCCGCACACACACACACGTGTCACTACCCATTCCTGATCTATGCATTGTATGGGCTTGAATTCGCACTGATTGGGTTGAACCTCACAAAGCCTGCATCTTGTCATTTCAAATTGATCTAAGATGATCTAAGTTTTGAGGCCTTTTTTCTTCGAAGACCAACACGGCACCTCGTTTTGCAGCAGGCTCCGCAGCAGCCTTGGGTGCAGGGCGCTTCTTTGCGGCCTTGAGCCTTGCGATGAGGTCCTGGCGATGTTGGAGGCACCAGGACCTGGCTATGGCCATTTAGTCGATTTAGTCCTACGAGTAACATGTCCTAACTTCCACCAGAACTGATGGACATGTGTTTTTGAACTGCCGGAAGATGGTAATTTGCCCTGCGACAAGTCATCTGACTCAATGACATTCAATGACTCTCTCCTGCTTGCTGCCAGTGGTTACCAGCCCCTGCTCCTCAGCGCAAGCAGGAGTGACCAAAACTGGAGCAGAACTCTTGCAAAAAGAAAGATCGAAAACGAAAACTTTCCAAAAACAATGAATTGAAAATCAAAGAATACCTTCCTATCCCATTTTGTCGTGCTGTGTTTGGATCGAAAAAAGGTGAAACACCGATTTCAAATCAACAAGCAACGTTCACAAACGATGGCCGCAATAACTGCAGCAAGTGCAACCATCAAAACCACAGTTTGCCAACCGCGGTGGCTCACAACAGTCGAAGCAAAGCGTCTTTTGCTTTCTTCCGAAGCTGTACCGCTGTCAGATTGTCCACCTGGGCAGGTAGTAGGCACAGCTGGGACCATCCAGCATTTCAACGTTGATTCTCGGGCTACGCAAGCCGTCTACACGGAGTTTCCAGGTGTACAGTACCAGGTAGATCACCGTATATCTAGGTAGGTAGTAATGGAAGAAACTTCTTGAGGACTGGACTGGTTCGTTTTACATAAGCTGGGAATGTCTCATAAAGTCAGTATGTAAATATCATATGTATATATCTGTATATTGGTTGTAACTGTATGGACATGTTGTATATATATATATTATTGTTGTTATTATTATTATTATTGTCATTATTATTATTATCATTTTTATTATTATTGTTCTTATTATTAGTATTATTATTAGTAGTATTATTATATGATTAATGATTATATATCTATACGTATATATATATATTCATATATGTGTATATATACATACACATTGACATATATATATATATAATCATATAAATAATCATGTATGTGTATATATATATATACTGTATACTCATATAAATAATCATGTATATAATATATATATATATATAGTATTCTTACACAGGGTACATACAAATACATCCAGAGTATCGCAGTGACAAAAATGAAGAAAATTCTACAACATCTGGACTCCAAGAATCATGAATTCTGTGCCCTGAACCCTGCCTCGGCAGGCTGTGCACGCTTGGGCGACATGGCCCGAGATCTGGACTCAGGGGGCAAAGCTGACCAGAGAGCCACACGAATGAGCAGGGTACGGGTTGATGTAGCTTCAACGGATTTAAGAGCACAAGACAGACCCAGACAGACCCCTGTACACATTGCTCACTGCCCAATCCAAATCATGCCAAATCTAACTCACTTGAGCATCTGAATAATCCTAAAACCCTTTCATGGTCTCAAAGGTCCCCTGCTGGAAAGCTTCAAACATGACAAGGAAGTCTTGGATCAAATTCACTACCCACTAGCCAAATGCAGCATTCCAAGCGCATCCTTTTGCTGAAGTTTCAAGTCCAAGAGGCAGAGAAAGTGAATACATCTTGAAACCTGAAAGCATTTTTCTAAAAATCGGCGGCAACTGGCCACGGGCTAGTCTCCTTGCTTTGCAGCCGCAACAGAACCAGAAATTGAGCTTCATAGAATGTCTGGGCTGTCATGACTTTCAAAGCATGGAGCTCGCGTTACGCCCTGTGTCCGAATCACCAAAAACATCAGCTTCGCAAGCTAGTTTGGAACCATTGGTCGCAACAGAACATGATGCCCAGGGCTTCCGTTCACGACTCTTGACAGATCATTGTCCCAGCCTCTGTCGGCGAGCTTAAGTAGTGTATTCAATATAGGATTTTGCGCGCAAATTGGCAAACTAATTGGGTAAATTTAATATGTAATGTAAATTTGGATATTACATGATGTCAGATGACATTAGTGTCTAGTCTTCGTTCCCTCTGGATCCCTCTGGAATTGCGGAAGAATCTGCGGGCAACACATTCGGGTGCGGTTTCTCTCCGTGAAACGGGCCAGCAGGGATGAAGCTGCGGCGTGGCCTACGGGTTCGTGCCGAGTGCAGCAACAGCTGGACGTTCCACGTGTGAAATCATTCCTTGACCCACTCAAAGGATCTCAAAGGATCCTAAGGAAAGGTCTGTGCAACTTGGGTATGGCTAGTCAACCCGGCTCCAATAGTCCTTCATTGTGTGTACTCTATCATAGTTTGTGCAACACACTTTTCACAATATTGACAACATTGTACAACGTATTTGGGCAACACATCAGCACACCCGACGACTGGCCAATGAGGACTAGCTGATCCTCACTCGTGCGACTCGTGCTTCTTTCTGGTAAAGAACCGACCACTCTTCACATTCTCCTTGGCGACCTGGCATTGCTTAACCAGAGACACATGTTGGGATTTGTGCGAATGTTATGATTCGTCATGTTGAATGGAAAGTCTTGGTTTGGGCAAATGATCGCAAATGTCATCTTAAAATGCAAGGTGTTCAAATTCAAAAACATGAAGTAAATACGAGTACATGGTGTGAGACATACATAGATTCACATACTCTGTAAAAAGCACACAGTACTTCTTTCATCTTCATTCAATCGGAACAAAACCAGTACTCCATGTACTCCAAACTCCAAACAATCCAACGCTTTGCCCCAAAGTCCACGAGCCTCTTTGAGTTCCTGGCACTTGAGCCAAGCCTTCCAGGTGTAGGGATGGTGGTGTGGACGCAGTCCCTCACATTCCAAAAACGTCACGCCAGAATTGGGGGAAATGAATGGAAATACGACAACACCTTACACAAGGGTAAAGATTTAAAGATGGTAAAAGGATGTTAAAGATTGTTCTACAGGCTTCGAATAAGTTACCATCTTGCTCTTTGTCAACCCAACCCAAAGCCACCATCAAAACGCAGGATGCAAACTTTGTTGAAACAGCCTTGCCCATGAGAAGCACTTTGTCCACAAAGGGCACGTAAGCCCGCCTGCCTTGGCCGTGCATAAAGCTTCAAAGTGTGACATGACAGCACAGGTACACAGTCACAGGGGTTTGTCTGAAAACAGGGTACCCCTAAATTTGCATAAATTTGCTAGCTGATCATCATTTTCCCATGGTTTCCCCAATCAAAAAGGCCGTTTTTGGTGCAAACCCACATCCTATTCAAAGGGAAACAATGGGAAACACTTTGTCTGCAGGAGTCATGCTGTTTGTTTCAACGCCATCTCCGAGGTCGGAACTGAGATTGTCGTAGTTGTTCTTCCGTATGCGGTTCAGGATATCTCCTGGCCGTGTGAAACCCTCCCAGTTTCCACCTCAACAGAGCCCAAGCATTGACGCATCTCACTAAGCCGGGTGAGTAGCCAAGAATGGCCAAGAAATGTTGGAACTTGAGAGCAGGCGGAGGCGGACGAAAGGTAGTGTAGTGGGAGAGGAGTGGTGTCAAAATGCTGCGCCCCTAAGATGATACACCAAAAACGTTTTTGCGCAGTCTAAGATGATTTTATCCAGAGCATGACTGCCTGATACGGTGTCTTGTGCAGCGTGAAATGATGCACGAAAAGGGGTTTATTTAAAACCCCTTTTTAAGACCCCTTGCAGCAACTGTTATTGAGGCTGAAGCATACCAATTATGCTGGACTACAGGGACATCTCCCTCATGGAAAGTGTGCCTCTAATGTGGGGGCCCGTGACCGCGTCACCCGTGGGAATTGAACCCATGACCATTTTCGGGGGGGGGAGGGGGCCCCCCCCCCCCTTATAATTGATATCCAATACATAACGGCGAGAATTCCATGAATTCCGTGGGCTGGCCCCCCAATACCCCCTAAGCTTGTGCTGAAGCACGGAGAACTCAGGTAGCTGACGCTACCTTTCGTGACTTGAATGTGCTATGCCCTGCTATGCAAGAAAAACTGATGCCAACAGCCGGGAGTGCCATACACATAGAGCGCAGCCTTGCCAATCAGCTGATGCAGCTGATGTGGCAGCGGCTCCGAAAAACTCTTGGGAGGCTGCCATGTGAAGATTGCATGCTGACATGCTGGATGGTAACTAAGACATCTTAGGAAAGAAGAAATTGACATCATGGTAGCTCAAATTCAATATAATTTGTTCTATTTTAAGTGAGACGACAGCGCCAGTCCATTTAGAACGAATGGACTCAGGCCCGAACCATGACGCCCAAGCGGTTCACTTCGCTCAGGCCGACGATACCGGCTTTGGCTTTCTGATACTCCCTGAGCTGCAGCGGTAGTGCAGCTTGAGCGCAGTTGCATCGTGGCAAACACGTCAATAAGAATCAAATTCAGGAGCATCGGTCGTGATTCAAACAAAACCAAGTAAATGTCGGCACAATGTGCACACAAAGTGTGTGCATCCTTGTATTGATCCTATACTAGTACTATCTACGACGCTACGATGCAAATGTACGCAAGTGTGCACATGTATGTGACTGGTATATGGTGGCCACGTCTCCAAACTGTACCAAGTCCATGAAACTTTTTTTGTCACTTTGCGGTTACTGCGTCTTGAAACGCTCGGCTTCATGCATACATGCTATCGATAGTAGTCTGGCTGTACAACAGACTCATCGATGAAGTCATGGCACACTAATTCCTGCAGGTCCACTGGCAACGTATTGCACACATTTGTAATGTGCCTTTCCGTCAAAAACCTGGACACAGCAGTTGCAAGGGCACGATTCATGGCCATTGGATAGATCTTTGCTCTGGCCGTTGCAAAAGTGCCATCTTGCTGAATTCCATGCAATGGTTTGTGCTTCGCTGGATGTGGACATCTGCCTCGATTTCCTCTTGTCAATGTCAAATCCCTGAAGGTGGAGAGGCGCAAAAGGAGCAATGTTGTAGGTTTCGTGGCCTCGAGGCCATATATGCACTGATCGAATGAGCATGCCTGAAAACACTCCAGCCTGATGAGTGCTCTCATTGCATCCAGCGTCCAAACCGAGGCGGGTCTCTTTCGCATCAGCCACACTGGAAATTGAGGATGCTCAAAAAAACCACAAAGTCCTATCTGCGCCGCAATGACAAGAAGCTCTATCAAAAATTGGACCAGCTTCGTTCCTGTTATAACTTGCTTCCATTGTTGTTTGGTCAAACCAGAACAGCCCCATGGAGTGTCAAAGGAACGTACAGGTGGTGGGCCTCCAGGTTCATACCTGGCCGCCGACCATGTCTCGCAGCTAGGCCCACCACCTATCCCGAGGACTTGTCCGCCTCGCATTTTGCCAATCCAAAATTGTTTTGTCTCCTCATCTGTAAGGTCAGAGTGGGTCTTAGCCAAACATAGATCCACGGATATGCAGAATATTTGCTGACAGCCAACAACTTCATGACCCTCAATGGAATGTTGCAAATCTCCTGTCCTTCGATGCCCACTAAAGAAATGGACAAACAGGAAGCACTGGATATGAAGCATCGCAGTCTCAGCAGCAAGGCCAAAATGCTGGAAGATTCCGGCGTGGCCTTGAACTCTGCCTCCATTGGATTGAAAAATGAACGGCAGAATCTCAACCTTGTCATCAGATGATTGGGCAAGATGTTCACAAAACCCATCCAGTCCTTCATATGCTCGACCAGTGACCTGAATGCGGGTCTGCCATCTTTCCTGCATCCTGGCAGCTCCCTCTGTGCCACACTTGGGGAGAGGGGGACCACAAATCTTAATCACTGGGAGAAAGGCTTTCGATGGGTTCCATCCTTGTGCACGCAAATCACGCGCGCTTTCTCTCTCTGCTGCTTCAACCTGTTCAACAACTTCTTCTGATTCTGGCACAAAGCAGCCAAGATATGTGTCTTTGCAACCAGCTGAAGCATGAACATGCGCAAGCAGCCTTGATCGATTGAAAAATTTCTTGCAACATGCATGACATTCATCTCCAAATACATAGTACTTCATGATCGTACGATATTGATGACGGTGTCTTGCATGAACGGCAAGGGCCTTCTTTGAGTCAAATCTTTCATCACACAAGTTGCATTTCCATGCACCTTGCTTGACATCATCCGCAGCAGTGGGCAGTTCTGCAAGGGAAGAAATGGATTTTTGAATCTTCATAGTCCACAGTTTCCCCTTTGCATTCTGTGCTCTAAAACACTTGCAAGCATTAAGAGCGGCTTTTACTCTGCCATTCCAGTGAGGATCAAGAGCGATAAAACTCAACACATCACATGGCTCCACAAATGCTGGTATCTTTCCAGGCTTCAAATGTCTGACAATCCATGCATAGGAGCTCATGAGTTGAGAGATCCAAGATTGGCTCATATTGTTGTCGTGCAGGAAAGACCACAAAGAAGACGGTGCAACCTGAATCGCTCTCTTGACATACCGCAGCCTATTTGCATGCAGTGTATCTAGAGGACTGTGGTCCCCTGCAAGCGCGCACAGTTCTGCGGTCGTGAAATGAAAGGGCAAAATTGGGCGGAGAGCATTCCGCGCAAGGGAAGCGACCTGTGATCTGATGCCATTTTCCCATTGTGCCAATTCTCCTTCTGTCACCCATGCCCACGTGTGCACATTATATGCATGCCTGGATAACACCAGAGCAGCATAAACTTCGCACTTAGTAGAATCATATACGTTTCGTTTGGAATAGAACTGCTTGTGGAGTTGGCCGTATGCTTTACGGGCTTGAGCATTTCTATACCTCAGATCTTTCTGAATCACCGCGTGATCCTGAACATACGATCCAAGGTGTTTATACGCATGAACCAACTGCAACTGTTGAACTCCATGCTCAGTGACAACCGGCAACCTGCCACCACATTGATGCCATACCTGATTTTTCACTGCTTTAGAGCCAGTTCCAGCCAGTTTCACAATGGCTTCAGTCTTGCCAGTTTGATAATTGATGGTCAAGCCTCTGGATGCCGCCACATCGTGAAGGCATGAGGAAATCACCTGTAAGGATGCAACTACATCTCCAGCGGAGGACGAGTGCATTGCATAGGCAACGTCATCGACAAATGTGATTTCTGCAAACCCTCTGTCTGGGATCGGCTGGGCTTGTGTGATATCTGTCGATGGCAACGGAGAACCAAAACATGACAATTCGGTCAGCTTCTCAATCCTTGCTCTGGCATCGAGGATGACCAACCGAAACGCCATGTTGAAAAGTATGTCAGCGACGGGATCACCTGGGCGAGTGCCCCTCATAGTTGCTGTCTTGCTGTCTAAACCATGCATGGAGAAGTGCGTTCCCGAGAACATATCCTGAAGTATGCCCTCATGGTGCTCACTTAGCCCTTTCGTGGCATGATCCTGAGCAACAGTTGACTTGATCTCCTGCCATTCATTCGGTGTAATACCGAGCTGTTTCATTGCAAAGCATATCGCGTCATCATGGAACTCGCCGTCAAAGAAAGAGGCACGCAGCACTGAATAAAAGGCTGATTGCAAGTCGACAAAAAGAATTGCACAGGACTTAGTTTTTGCTCTTGCCCATGACAAATGTGCATGTAACAAATGATGGGCTACATCTGTAGAGCAGCCCTTTTTCCCACCGAGTTGAATGAGTGAATCATCTTCACTCCAAACACTCGCAAGCGTTTTGCGAACTTTGGCATGATGTATCTTTGCACAAATATCTGACAAGAAAATTGAGCGATACGCTGATGGTTCATTGGGCGAACCCTTGCCTTTAAACAGTGGGATCAACAACCCTCCCTTCCAATTGAGCGGCTCTCTCATATGCCACGAAGCTTTCACCAACAGCGGCGTCAGAGCCTTTGCAATAGCAATGCCACCAGATTTGATGACATCCACTGGGAGACCACCTGGCCCTGGCACCTTGCCGTTTTTGAATTTTCTAATGATGGCAAGAATCTCACATGGGTCAGGACATGCATCCAACTCCCTCGCTCTGAACTCAACTGGCGACTCATGTAACTGAGAGAGTTGCAAGACTGACGCATCAATTCCTGCTTCAATTTTTGCAAATTGTGCTTTCCACACTTCCTGACATTCGACAAAGGATTGAGCATGCGTGTCAGCATCAATTTTGAGACAGGGCAATGGTTTTGGGCCTCTTCCAAGATCTTTGCGTCGTCTTCCCAACCTTTGCAACCTTTTGTAAATCTGCGCAGTGTCATGCTGTTGGCCAGCACTGTTGATCTTGTCCAGCCAATCTGCATACCATTTCTTCTGGTCAAGAAGAACCATCGATTTGATTGACTTTTCAATGGCTTTCAGCTCATCGATGAGACCTTGGTCTTGAAAGTGCTGACTCCTGGCCATATCAAGCATTTGTCGTTTAAGCTGAATGCCAGCGATTGTCTGCTCTCTCAAAAGAGGTCGTGATTTCTCCCTTCCAGAAACACCAAAATGCTGTCTGGCGATCTGTAGTATGTTCGTTTCAAGCATAACTGAATGATCATCAATTGATGTGGACCATGATGGCATTGGCATTGTGGCTAATGCCGCAGCAAAATCTTGTTGAGCCTGGGGATCCTGCATTTTCTGGAAATCCCATTTCAACCTTTTCCCTGCAGCACCAACACTGCTACACCATCAATCTTGCACATGGCAGGGCAATGGTCAATATGCCCAAATCCACCGTCAAAATCCGCAATGATCTGAGAATTTGAGCAGAGAGGAAAGAATGATCGACTCAGCAAAACATAGTCTCTACGGAGCCATTCTCCCCTCGGATGTCTCCACGTGGCTGACAAACCTTTGTGATTTGAGAATGTGGAAGGAGCAAGTAGCTCATTAATGAGCAGAAAATCTTGAAACTCTATGCCTTCACGATTCATAGTCTCACTGTGGTGAAGCCCAAAGAAAGGCGTTTCACGGTCAGCAAGAGGAGCATTGGCATCGACCAACATGATAATATTACCTCCTTGACATTTTTCAAGCTGTCGAGTGAGACTCTGCCACCAATTGCGGATCTGATCAATGGTTCTGGTGGCATTGAGACACGGCGCGTGAGCAACCACAACCGTGAAAACAAGCGGACCTTCAAATTTGACAATAAGGAGGCGAGGCTGTGAGACTGTGATTGTAACCTTGCAGTCTTGCAGGCTGATTGCATCTCCATTTGGCGACTTGCAGAAAGGGAGAAATTTGTGCACCCACAACTCACAGCCAAAATGTTTTGACCTCCCACACTGTTCAAATCCTGATGAAAATATCTTGTAATGATCTGCACAACGGCAACCTTCAGGCGTTCGAGCCTCTTGAATCCCTACTAGAGCTGCACGTACTTGATGGAACTGAG